GATTCAGAGGAACTCCGCTGCTTGTGAATCATCTGGGAACATCAATTATCTTTGTAGTGTAGGATACAGTAGACTGGTTACTGCCAGCATCTGCTGAGGTTTCACAGAAAGAACAAATGGATTGTTATGCTTTCGTTTTGCAACCCAGTGGGTGGTTAGGTATGATTTTTACTAGTCAGCAGCATTTCAATACATGTAAATGTGGTGTGTGGAAAATCAGAAATGTTAACATTTTGTCTTTAACCAAAGCCTAATGCGGTTGTGCTATCATGTGGGTGTATTAAGGATGCTGTGTTCTCATCTGTCTTTTTGAATAAGTTCTTGTTATGGTGAAATTAACACTCACATGTGACATATCTTTCTGGAGGGCAGTTTGTCAATGTGTATCAAAAAGCCTTTACATGAGCATACTCCTAAACTCAGAAATTCTAACTTTTGAGAATATTTCCTAGATAAATAATTGAACACGTGGTAAAAGTATATCTATAGTGAGGCCCTTTGTAGCATTGTTTCTAAGAACATAAATTTGGAAAAATCTTAACTGCCCATCCGTAGAAAACTGGTTAAATAGATTATAGTACATCCATATACATATATCTACTACATACATCCAGTCAAAAAATACTGTGTTGCTGTTGAAAATTATATTTTGCTAATGTGTTAAAGCAGTAATAAATAAGGTAAATTAAAGAAATTGTTTCTAAAATAATGTATATATCATGATCCTACTTGGTTAAAAATGAAAATATCTATGCATGCATAGTTCTTCCCTGGTGGCTCAGATGGTAAAGAATCTGCCTGCAGTGTAGGAGACCTGGGTTTGATCCCTGGGTCAGGAAGATTCTCTAGAGAAGGGAATGACGACCCATTCCAGTATTCTTGCCTGGAGAATGCCATGGACAGAGGGGCCTGGTGAGCTACAGTCCATGGGGTCGCAAAGAGTTGGACACGACTGAGAGACTAACACTTTCATGTAAAGACAGGTGAAGTTCTGGTAGAATACACTGAATATTAATCATGTTCATATCTGAGTGGTGTGATTAGGAAACTGATTTTTACTTTCTCTTTTATACATTTTTTAATGTCTGGTTTAAGAAAACAATAAATGCATGTTACTTTTGGAGCCAGAAAAAAATTTAACAGTTAATTTTTTTTCAATTTTGAAAGAAAAGTAATAAGTCTCTGGTAGTCGTATGAAGACTAGTTGTTGTGGGAGAGGCCTGAAAGCTAAGCAGCCACTGTGTGCTCTGACCTTGGAGGGCTGATGTAGGGAGGTTCACTTTCAAAGAATTTGCACACGTATCAAGTCATTTGGCATGGACACAATTTCACATATAAAGTCAACTGATAAGTCATTGAGCCAGCAACTGGGCACATTCTGATTCAAAATACCATGAAATCATTTTGTCTCCTTTTTTGTTTTTAACTTTGAAAACAATTTTAACATGTGCCTTTATTAATAGACATATGTATAAAATAGATAACTACCAAGAACCTACTATATAGCACAGAGAAAAAAGAAAGGTACAATCTGTAGGGCATAAATGAAGCTAACCTTAAAAATGCATCCGAGTAAAAAAAATTAAAAAATGCATCCCAGTACACATTGTTGTGCTGTGCTTACTCAGTCGTGTCTGACTCTTTGCAACCCCATGGACTGTAGCCCGCCAGGATCTTCCATCCATGGGATTCTCCAGGCAAGAATACTGCAGTGGGCTGCCATGCCCTCCTCCAGGGGATCTTCCTAACCTAAGGATTGAACCCAGGTCTCCCACATTGCAGGCGGATTCCTTACCATCTGAGTCACTAGGCAGCCCATGAATCCTGGAGTGGGCAGCCTATCCCTTCTCCAGGAAGTCTTCCCAACCCAGGAATTGAACCACGGTCTCCTGCATTGCAGGCAGATTCTAAACCAGCTGAGCTACCAGGGAAGCTCCAATACACTTAGGTGCAGACAAATACTGTTTGATTCCACTTATACAAGATATCTAGGACAGTCAAGTTCACAGTACACTGGTAGATGCCAGGGGCCTGGGGTGAGGGAGTGGGGAAGGAGAATTGGGAATTAGTGTTTAATGGGGACAGAGTTTCCCTTTAGGAAACTTCCCTTTAGGAAGGTGAAACATTCAGGAGATGGATAATGGTGAGAGTTACATGACAGTGTGGATACACTCAGTGCCACTGAACTAACCGTACAGTTAAATATGGTTAAAATAGTACATTTTATATTATATTTTACCACAATAAAAAATGAATTAAAAATGAATAAATGTCCTCAAAAATTTAGCTCTGGCAATTGCGTGTCCTAGACAAGAGTCTACCATTGCAACACAATGGTAAATTGTAAGCCACAGGAAGTTAAAAGAGTCAGAAGAAACAGTGGAGATGATCCAGTTGTTCAAGGTCACTCCTCCAATGAGGAATCTGAGATGAAGGAAGACTGAGTGTGACCCGGCCAAAACAGATGGCAGATCCAGGTGGTGTCGGAACTAAAAGCCAACAGTCTCCACCGTGAAGCCCACTGGGTGAGTGGGAAGAGATAGTAACATCTCAAATTGTTCAAGTATAATGTGAAATCAAGAGCTTCAAATGAGATTCCATTTTTAGGAGAGGGGATAGTCTTGTTTCTGGCAAAAAGTGTCCCATATGGAGCTTTTATGTGTCTTGCTTGTCTTGGAAAAGGAAGGCCCCAAGTAATAGCCAAGACCTCATGGCTGAACCGGAGATGTAGACGGGCAAATTAAGACTTTCTGTTTGATTAGCTTGGGAAGCCATCATTAAGGACTCATTCTCCCTGCTGTGGTTAAAGTTGTCTATTGAGAAATAAGCCAAAGGAGTATGAAGCCAAGAATCTGAAGACTGAAGCCAAACCACTGGGAAGGGCTTTTGACTGCAAACTACAATGTGATTGAATTAGAAAGGAACATTTGAATCATGTCATGCTGTCACCTCGAATTCAACAAGTCTAAAATTGAACTCATCTTTCCTCACAAAGCAGCTCCTCCACTGCACTTTCCTAATAACAACAAAATACTACACTGTAGCTTGACTTACCACAACACATCCATGATTTCTTTTGATTGTGACCCACTTCCAGACAAGGCAGCGTAACGCAGGTTAATCAAAGAGCCGCCAGCTAGGGAGAGACCAGTTGCAGAAACCAGGTTTTCTGAATATTAATCCAGTTATCCTTTAACTATATCACACTACCCTTCTCTCCATATTTGTGGAAATAAACCAGTCAGCTTTATAGAATTACTAAGTGACAGTTTATTTATATTGGCATTTGAATATTGCACACCAGCACATTTTAGCAAGTATGAAGTCAGAGTTTCTTAAGTAGCAAAGAGCAAACCAACCAACCTTCAGAACTGTTCATCTGGTTTTGTAAGATACCTAGGTCCAAAAACATTCAAAGCATTTGTATTATTGAAGTCAAAAGATAAAGCACTGGATCTAAAAATGCCTAGTTTGTAAGTCCAACAGGAGCAAACTTCATCTGTCCTGTTAGGTTTGTTTTGTTGGTATAAATTGTATGGTTTCATTTGTAAATTATTTTAGCTTAGTCATGATTGATAGGCATGTAATGTTTACATATCTGCATTTCTATTTGTCGCTATGTAAGTAACACTGTGTAAAAAAAAAAAAGCACATGAACTATCCAATGTAAAGAGCAGTCTGGTGCACAAAGTCGCTCCATCCCAACCCATGGGATCATCAGGTCACCCAGCACTGCCGTGCCTCCTCAGCGCTGTGTATCCCAGTCACAGACCTCCCTGCGGAGCAGCGCGGTTAATCACGTAGGCCTTCTCCTTTTGAGTCTGAGCATCTGCAGCACTCCAGCTCCAACTCTCTACTTGGGATTAAATATTAGGGGAAACACATCTAACTAGTGATTCCAATTGTATAACTTCCCTGAATAACTCTTTGCTTCAGATGAACCAGGAAAGCTAAATACCACATATGCCTGGGAAACCCTCTCTGCCTGTTCTACTTGCTATTGTTGCTGTTGTTGTTGAGTCTCGTGTCGGACTCTGTGACCTCATGGAATGTAGCACGCCTTAGACAACAGGTTCTATCTAAATACACGCCTGTAGGCTACCAAGAGGTGCCCAGTGTGAGGGTGGTGGAACACTAAGGCAGTTTTAGGACAAAAGAGGGGGCCATAGAGGGCACTGCCAGTGGCTCAGTGATAGAGAATCCACCTGCAATGCAGGACACGTAAGAGACACAGATCGGATCCCTGGGTCAGGACGATCCCTTGGAGGAGGAGATGGCAACCCACTCCAGTGTTCTTGCCTGGAGAATCCCATGGACAAAGGAGCCTTGCAGGTTGCAGTCCATGGGGTCACAAAGAGTCGGTCACAATGAGCACACACACATATACATAGAGGGCGCTGCCGTGAGTGTGAAGCCTCTTCTCAGCTGACAATGATACCTTCTTTCTTCCGTGAAAACAAACTACAAGGGAAACAATAAATCCAAGCAAAGAGGATATCCTGCTCTGGTTTTTAGTTAGCTATTTGGCTTGTTAATGCCAGATTCCTGGCTTGGTAACATAACTTGATTCTTTTCTGACCTTTGTGAAAATGTATCCACAAATAATTCATACAACATGCTAAATCTTTTCGGTAAGTGTTTTGATTACTTTCAGTTCAATTCTTTGGATTTCTGCTTCTAAATCTTTACTAATCATCAGCTTAGTAAAGAAATCTAAATAAGCTAACCCACAGTCTTCAAAGGCAGTTGCTGTTGTATAAATTTTTTCAGTTTAAGCTGTTATTTGATCATTGTCAATTAGCCTCTGTAGCTATTGGACTAATGCTTTTCAGATACAAGTTTAAAAACTCGTCAGATCAGGTCTCTAAACGTCAAGAAACAGAACCGCCCTCTGAGAACTCTGTGGTTCAGTAAGTAGTCACGTTCAGGGTTGATCCTGCTAAGAAGCTGGTAAAAATGGTTGGCATTTGGCTCAAGAGGTTGTGTTTTCGATGTTGCAGAATCGCCTACCAGCGGAATGACGATGACGAGGAAGAGGCCGCCAGGGAACGGCGCCGCCGCGCCCGACAGGAAAGGCTGCGGCAGAAGCAAGAGGAAGAAGCCTTGGGGCAGGTGACCGACCAGGTGGAGGTCAATACCCAGAACAGGTACTGTCCTCTTCGGAAGGGCACATTTCTCAATTGCTTCTTAGCCTGTCTGATGAAAGAAATGTATTGGGCAAAGCATTCCCTTCAGCCCAACTCAGTCTCTTTCACTCTTTCTAGCTTGTTTAATTCTTGTGTGGCCATTATTGGCATCTCACCAGACTGGACAGTTGATCTGATTTAGACATCAGGACACCAGTATTCCTTTTTTCTCACCCGCTATCCTGTCCCCTGGACACACCCTAGTTGAAGGATATTTTCTTTGTAATCTAGTAAATTTTTTATTTACTAAAAATCACTGGTTATATTCTTAAATAACGAAAACTATTTACGTTCATTCTTTAAGGTATTGTTATCTGTTCTGAACTAAGGATGTATTAGTTTAACCGTCCTCTGTACCTACCAGTAACAGGGATAATACTTGAATTTTAAAAGTAGGCATGAATTGCAGATGTCTTATTCTTCCTAATATACACCCTAACCCCGTATTCTCTGTTCTCTGTAATATTCTGCAAGGTCCAGATTCCTGTTTAATTTAATGTAGTTATTCAAACAAGCTTATGAGTTTAGTACTGCATTTTTTCTATACCAGTCCTGGTGGAAATCAGGAAAGTCGAGATCTTTTAGTGGTAAGTTCAATTTCTTATAACAAGTGTGTGTTAGTTGCTCAGTCGTGTCCGACTCTTTGCAACCCCATGGACTATGCCCGCCAGGTTCCTCTGTCCATGGCATTCTCCAGGCAAGAATACTGGAGTGGGTTGCCATTCCCTTCTCCAGGGGATCTTCCTGACCCAGGGTCTCCTGCACTGCAGACAGATTCTTTACTATCTGAGCTATCAGGGAAGCCCTAACTTCTTCTAAAGAGACTTTTAAAAGTTCACACATGCAAAGTCAAACAGTGCGTTATGCTGATAGTTAGTATATGTCATGTATATGCTCCAAGGTACAGAAAAGATGAGGATGTTTGAGGGGGAATGGAGGAAAAGATAATTTTATTTTAAAATTATGGAATGGTTACATATAATGAAATCATCATATAAGATCTTTTGTGTGGTTTTGGTTTTAGATTCTCTTACTTTGTGCATGTTGGGAGGAAACTGTATTTGATAATCCCCTTCATTCAATCTACATAGAAAATTCTGAAGGGAAAGAGTTCTGACCTCTTGAACGTGAATTTCAGTGGGTACACAGGTTTCTGAAGGCAGTCATGAAAACGCTGGCGGGATGACTCAATCAGGAAGCTTCTTGGTTAGGTGGACAAACAGACCTCATCCCTCACTAAGTAGCTCCTAATTAGGGAGGGTGTATAGCCAAGAGATTGAGGTTTGTTCTTTGGGGTTCACCACCTGGCTTTGAATCCCAACCTGACCCTCCCTTCACTAACTCTATTTCTTTAGTTAAATGGAAATAAAAATTATACTTTTGTTTTAGGCGTGTTGTTAAATTTAAATGAGATGATAACACATGTAAAATGCACATAGTAATCTTGACCATTATTAGGAAGATGGTAGCAGAATCTTATAAATCAAAACAGTATGGTCGTCACTTCCTTTTCTAGTTTTGAGCTGAGGGAGATGGGAACAAAATAGTTTAAACACGACATTTTACATTTTAAGGCCTTCCATGAATCTGGCTATTAGGGAATAATAAGCAATGCTTTAAAAATTTACTAGTGCCTGTAGTTTTCTTGCTTTTGAAATCTTGCTCCTGCTTGTATTTCTCTTCTTTCACCATTTACTATTACTAGTTATTTCATGCTATTGATTGAGTACAAAATTCTTTTTTTTTTTTTAGTAGCTCATATTCGTATAATTTACCTCTGACATGAAGAATAAGTATTCTTCTTGGGGCTAAGCAACTGTAATTGGTACTCAGCTTCTACTGATAATAGCTGTCCTGATTTATAAATAGCAAATAGCAAAAAAAAAGATTTAGTAGAGTCTGTGTTTCCTAAGAGTTCTTTAAGCCAAATAGCATTTTGGAATTTGGGGTACCTCTTAAAAATTATTTAAATTCAGTTGATCCAAATGCCTCATATACATAGATTTTTTCCCCTTAAATTCTAAACTATTTGCATTTTCAGAGAAGTTTAACCCTTAAGTATCTAATTCATTGACATGGTGCCTTACAGCAACAGCGAAGGCCAAGAAAGTTTAAAATCCAGCCTCTACTCTGCCATTTCTTATTGTTAAAGGTGAAATGTGTTTTTCCAAAATTAAGTGAACTTGAACTTCAAAAGGGCCAAGGTTGGTATGAACCATGAAATTTGATGGAGTTTCAAAACACTGCAAGACATACTTTTCCAACTCTGGTCACAGTCCTAGTATCACATGACTAGTTGTTTCCTGCAGTGAAGACCAACACCCCTGGCTTGGGCAGTGTCCAGCCAGCATCCCACAGTAGTGAGCATGGTGATGGACATGTTGCAGTATGTTTTTTAGAGATTTTTCTCTTCTTATTTTATAAATATCAAATCTAACTGTTCTTTGTCTACTGTAGAAAAGAAGGGCAAGAGACCTTTTACTCATGGAAATCTTGACAAAGAATGGAGATGGTATATTATATATATATATTAGTTAGGGCAACATCAGCTGCTTTAACAATGAGTTCCCAAATTGGGTATTTCTGATTGGTAGAACTGGTCCCCTATCTTCTTTCCACTTGTGAGTCTATCAGCCTCAGTCCTCTGATCTGGCCAGCAGACAGAGGTTGAAAAGGAAGGCTATGTACCTCTGCTTTTTATTTGTCCTGGCCTGGACATCACACTTCTGCTCATACTTCATTGGAATTATTGGTCCTGTGGCCCCACCCAAGTGTAAGGAAGAAAGGAGGGCTAGGCAATGACTTGACGGGCAGTGACTTCCATGTGACTAAGGAAGGAGGACCATGAATTGCGGTGGATAGTTGGCTGTCCCCACCGTGGGGGTTATTAGCCTGAGCATAGTATAGCATCTGTGCACTATTATTAATACATACACTCCCTTCCTCTCAAAGTACTTTGTGTTCCAGAAATCCAGATCAGGAATTCCAGATGACTTGGCAACATGTGGGAACACTATATGATATGAGAGGAATTTGTTTCTTCAGTTTGGTCCTTGTCTTAATTTGAGTTCTCCAAGAATCAGATTCTGAAACAAAGATTTGAGCACAGTTTATTTGTAAAGTGATCCTAGGAAAAGCCAGTAGCAGTGTGGAAAAGTGAGGCAGAGAAGGCAACACAACCAAATAAAGGTTTTCTTTATGAGAAAATTACCACTGTGAGTATCTGGAGCTTAACTCCACTGGGAGCTCTAAGATCCAGTGCGGTGCAGGTACCTCGGAGCTATCTGATTCCAAAGGTGAGGGGAGCTGAGGTATTTATTCACTAATGCTCATCAATTTTTGCTAGAGGCACAGTGCCCAGGGGGCATTAATACTCAGCTCTTCTGTTTACAGAATAGACTCACCATGGCCAGAGAAAGACCATGGGCAAAGGTTTGCATATGCTGTCCTTGAAAGCCAGGCAGGAATGTACTAATATGGGGCTATGTATGGGGAGTGTGTGTATATATATTTCTCTATGTATCTGCTATAGTTCCCATGTGGCACAGTACATGAATCCAGCTGACCGATTAATCAGCAAGCTGTCCTTGGTGTTGTTTCTGTTGTCCAGTGTGCCTGACGAGGAGATCAAGACATCCACCACCAACACTCAGCTGGAGGGCGATGATGAGGCTGCTCTCCTGGAGCGACTGGCTCGGCGGGAGGAGAGACGCCAAAAGCGCCTTCAGGAAGCCCTGGAACGGCAGAAGGAGTTTGACCCAACAATAACAGATGCAAGTTTGTCACTCTCCAGCAGAAGAATGCAAAACAACACAACAGACAATGAAACGGCAGAGAAGGAAGGAAAAAGTGAAAGTCGCCAGGAGCTGGAGGAAACAGAAATAGTCACCAAGTCCCACCAGAAGAATGATTGGATGGAAGCAGAAGAGAAAAAGAAAGAAGAGAAAGAAAAGGAGGAGGAGGAAGAAGAGAAACCAAAGCCAGGGAGCATTGAAGAAAATCAGGTAGAGGTGGTGGTAGAAGAGAAAACAGCAGACACCCAGCAGGAAACAGTAATGCCCCTGAAAAATGGGCAGATCAGTGCCGATGAGCCTAAGACCGAGGAGGAGGGGGAAAGGGGCTCAGATGAGATTCTCCACAATGAAAAGCTGGAAGAGGAAGCCAGGGAAAGAGCTGAGGCAGAAAGGGCCAGGTTGGAAGCAGAAGAAAGAGAAAGAATTAAAGCTGAGCAAGACCGAAAAATAGCAGAGGAGAAAGCAGGAAAGGAAGCAGAAGAACAAGCAGCTGCCCAAGAGAGAGAAAGACGGGAGGCAGAGGAGAGGGACAGGATTAAGGAGGAGGAGAGGAAGGCAGAAGAGGAGAGGAACAGGATTAAGGAGGAGGAGAGGAAGGCAGAAGAGGAGAGGAACAGGATTAAGGAGGAGGAGAGAAAGGCAGAAGAGGAGAGGCAGAGGGCAAAGGCAGAGGAAGAAGAGAGAGCTAAGATAGAAGAGCAAAAACGTAAGAAGCAACTAGAAGAGAAAAAGGGGCAAATGCAAGAGAAAAAGATTAAAGGGGAAAAGGTGGAGGAGAAAACAGCAGGGAAGGGGGTCAATGAAAAGAAAGCACAAGAAGATAAACCTCATACAGCTGTCCCAAAGAAACAGGTACTGTAAACCTTTTGCACCAAGTGTGTGATGCCTGCAATTTGCGAGAAATGTAATGCACATCAAATTTGGGACTGAGGCCACATTCCTAAGGCCCCACATGCTTAATCATTTGGCAAGCTGTTCATTTTTTTAGGTCATAGCAATACGCAAGCATAAAGCAATCGACTGAGAGCTAAATATTCCACCAACCAAATTTACTGGTACAACCAGAGAGAAGTGAATTGCTCTGTGCTTGATTGCTGTGAATACCAGAAAAAATGAATTAACCCAAAGATGACAAGTGTGGTGGTACTGCACTGACATGATTCTGCACCTGCATCTAAACTCATTCCTTCTAACAACTTAACCTCTCTCCACAGGTCTACATGAGGCAGGAGGACCATAACTCCTCACCTCATCTATGTGTTTGGCATCTAATAAAAGATGCTAAAAGTTGGGGTGGGAAACTGTTATGATGAGTCATGGTCAGAAATATCTTAAGAAGACAAAAATAACCCCCTTGAAATTAACTGGTAATAAAGGAGGGAAAGGAGCCATTTTGGACCTTTTATAAAAAAAAGTCAAAACCCTGACTTGCCGTCATGTAGACCTGAGCCTAATGTAGACTTGCAGAGAGCCATTCATCTGGGGCAGCATCAACTTAAAACTGGTTGGTGATTATGAGCACACATTTTGCTTCTTTTACCATCTGGGTAATACAGATTTATGTAGCAGAAGGAAGAGTGGAATGGGACTGGGGGAATGTCTGTAATCTAAGAAACATTTTTTTTTTCTCTGTCTGCAAGGCTACATTAAAAGCACTATACCTAACCAGAAGAGAAAAGAGATGCTTGTGTACTGAGCTTTCCAGAGAGAATGCTCTATCGCTAAGTCTGCATTGCACTCAAGTCATCTTTCACTTCTGCTTCTTACAAGGGGCTCATAAACACAGCTATCCTAAGAGATGATCAGGAACAAGATGCACCAAACACATGAGGTTTTCAACACTCGCTAGAAGCACCACGTCACGCTGAACTCCAGCGAGCACGATGGCAGGCACATGAGGAAAGATTTGGTGGGAGGAAACGATCCCACGTTGCTGTTTAGAACCACTGGCACTGGGGAAATGTGAGCATTGGTACAGCCACAGAGAAGTCACTTCACGCCACATGCAGAGTGACCTGAGCACCCTCTCACTCTTGCTTTTAAATAAGTGACCTTACCATTCTTGAAAATAAAAAGGAAGAAGAAAGGGGGGCTAAAGTGCCAGCTAAAAGAGAAAAGTCCCAAGAAGACAAGGCTGCCTTCAAAAAAGAAGAGGTAAATATCATTGAGAAGGAACCTAGTCATAAAGCACAGAGAGCAGTGTTCCATGACGTTTCAGGTCAGATGATCTCAAAATTGTAACCTCTAACCCAGTATTTTTCAAGCCATGGCTCATGATCCATTGAATGGTGAAATCAATTTAAAGCAAAACTAGTTAAAAATGTCAATCTGCATATTTTTTAATGAAGTAGAATAGAAAATATCAGAGGGCATCGTGGCCACTGAGTATTGCATTGTGCTATAAATTGTCTTTTCTACTATGGGTCACAGTCAGAAAGCTTGAAAAACACTTCTCTGATCAACCTTTCCTGCTTTCTACTCTCCTCCAAAAAAGCTATTTTTTTTTTCCTTTGGGCCATCCTACTTTCATTTCAATCATGAAATATTTCCAACTGGCTTTGATTAATGATTTAACTTTTCAACGAGAAAACACTCCCACACCTCTCAGTAGAAAATCTGATGAACTGAAGATGATATTTGGTTTTCAAAAAAAAGTTTGACACAATGTTCTGCATTGCATTTCTGAGGCACACACGGGAGCTGGTGCCAGGGTGTTTGACTGTAGGTAAGTAGTAAACAAGTCAGTGGACCAGAGGCTGCTGCAGAGAGCATGTCATTATGTCCCAGCATAATCAAAATGCCACATCAGAAAGCCTGACCTCAGGACTTCCGTGGCCATCCAGTGGTTAAGACTCTTTGCTCCCAATGCAGGGGGCACAGGTTTGATCCCTGGTTGGGAAACTAAGATCCTGCACACCACATAGCTCAGCTTAAAAAAAGAGGAAAAAGAAAGAAAGTCTGATCTTGTTTTAACCATCATGCTTATGTTAGCTCCAAGCAGTCCTAAAAATGATGATAGTATTTAACAAGTTCAAAGTACTTGATCGTGGTAAAACTAAATTATCAAACATAAGATTTGAATTACTCTGCCTGTGGGACTGAATTGTAGTTATTGAGCTCCAACTCAGATGGACTCTTGCTACATTTCTCTGCCCATTATAGCACAGAATAAGACACAGACAAATCTATATTTAGCAAACAGATGAGATTTAGTAGGAGAATGATTATTTTCTTAAACCTTTTTTTCCTAAGATTCATGTAAAAAGAACTCTAGTTCATGTGATATTTATTTTGTTTTTGGTATATGTTCCTCCCATTTTCTAGTAGAACTTGTGGTGGCTTGGGAGTAAAAACCGAACGTGAACATGAATGCTAAAAACTAGAAAACTAAATTTGGCTCTAATGAGGCTGCTGAGAAATTTGTTGAACATGTTGGGAAACAACTGTTCCCATTCTGTAACAGAAAAACAACTACAAATTCATTTCCAAAAAATGAACATTACTTTGGGACTAAACCCAAGAAATATCCCACATATACTATTTATTTCGCTTCCCACATATATATTTATATATCCCACATATATTATTATTTAGCTTCATCTCTGAAGCTAGCATTTTGTGTGGGGGAATATCTTTAACTTGTTTTTTAATTGGAGTATAATTGCTTTACAGAACTGCATTGCTTTCTGCTGTGCAACAGCATGAAATCAGCTATGTGTATACTTATATCCCCTCCCTCTCAGGTCTCCCTCCCACCACCCACCCCACCCATCTAGGTCATCAGAGAGTGCAGAGATGAGCTCCCTCTGCTATACAGAAACTTCTTGGGGGGGAATATCTTTAAGTACAGGAGGAAGAGGGCAGGAAATCATAACTCAGTGATTCTGTTTCTGTAGAGCAGGAGAGGAGGGAATGACTGTATGAACTCTCCATTTCATTCAGTTCAGTAAGATGTGGATTGTTTTTAATGACCAAGGCATTCTGTGTCCACGTTTTGTGTCTGTGAACTCGAAGGAGCTCAGCAGCGGTCATCCCATCATCCTTTAGCCTCTTTTCAGATAAGGCCCCCAGTTCAACAATGGCCGTGTGGTGGATGATTTCAGTCCTGCCCCTTTTTCAGTCTGCCCTCCAGCACATTCCAGTGTCCCAAAACTTGGCCTCTTTTTGACACAAGAACAGATTAGCTCCCTAACCCAAGCTTTGGAAAAAAGAAAAAAACAACTGCCATTCCTGTTCTAACATTGCATACATAAATTACTAGTTGAATAACTAGGTTTTCCCCCTCTCCACCTGTTTGCGTAGCTGCTCGACTTAGGTAACTTTAAATCATAGTTTACGTGATGTGGCCATTTTAAACACCCTCCTTCTACCCCCCCACCCCCCTTTTTGTTCTCTACTCTCAACAAAAGTCTTTCCTTTCATGGAGTTTGCAAGAAAAGGAAACACAAGCATCAGGTGAGCTACATTTCCAGAAGTCACTCCAGTCCCTTACACAAAACCTTCTTTCTCCCACTGCAGTTTAGCTGTTTGTGGCAGTGAATCACAGATGACCAGTCACCCTGAAACTTAACTTTGTATCTTCCCCAGCTATAAAATGCCTTCTTTTAATTTTTTATTTTTTACTGAAGGATAGTTGAAGTACAATGTTTTGTTTATGCTGCTCAGCAAGTGATTCTGTTATACACATTGCGTGTGTGTGTGAGTTCTTGCTCAGTCCTGTCTGACTCTCTGCGACCCCAAGGACTGGAGCCCACCGTGCTCCTCTGCCCATGTGATTTGCCAGGCAAGAATACTGGAGTGGGTTGCCATTTCCTACTCCAGGGTAATCTTCCCAACCCAGGAATCGAACCTACGTCCTTTGTGTCTCATGTATTGGCAGGCAGATTCTTTACCCACTAAGTCGCCTGGGAAGCCCTTTATACATATACATATATTCTTTTTTTAATATACATTCTTTTCCATTATGGTTTATCCTAGGATATTGAATATAAAATGCCTCCCTTTAGTTCTTCACCCCAGAGCTCGTTTTTTTGTTCTGGCCTCTAATAGGAAAACAGTTTCCAGCAGAGCTGTTCATATAATAATGAAACTAATATTCATATCACGTAGGCCAGAGCCTCTCACTAAACATTAGGGTGCATGCTGGTCACCTGGGATCTTACGAAACACAGACTCTGACTCTGTGGGTCTGGGCAGAGCCTCAGCTCCCCAGGGAAGTCCATGTTGTCCATGGACAGGGCCATTCATGTGATAGACACTGGGCTTGGAAAAGGAATTGAGGCTTCTGAATCTAACAAAAGTATGTTCTACTTAGTCTGAAAAAGTGTAACTTGCACCAGTTCTTACCATTCTTCTGGAATCAAATGACAGAAAGCAGTACAACAGAGAAACTGGTGCCTCAGTCCTTTTAGACTTGTTCACAACTTTTTGAGCGTCTCTCTGGCACAAGAGTATGTCACTGGAATTCCTACCCCTACACACATAACACCCATGTGTTACCCCACTGATCACTTTTTTTTTTTTGCTGTGCTGTTCCCAGTTGTGTCCGACTCTTTGTGACCCCATGGATTGTAGCCCAGGCTTCCCAGATGACACTAGTGGTAAACAACCTGCCTGTTGATGCAGGAGATGCAAGAGACGTGGGTTCAATCCCTGGGTTGGGAAGATCCCCTGGAGTAGGGCATGGCAATCCACTCCAGTATTCTTGACAGGGATAATCCCATGGACAGAGGAGCTTGGCGGGCTACTGCAACAGGGTCAGACACGACTGAAGTAACTTAGCACGCACGGACTAGCCCACCAGGGTCCTCTATCCAGGTGAGAATGCTGGAGCAGATTGCCGTTTCCTACTCAGGATACATGGCCTTGTATTAATCCATCAGCACAGATTGTCTTCTTGGTAACATTTTAATCTGGAGGCTCTAATGTTTTTCCCAGTGGGCTCAGAATATCCCATTAGCTTAGGTTGAATCTGCTATAGAAGCCAACCCACTGTGCTCCTTAAAGTGTTACGGAATTTATTTATTCATTTCCCAGAAAGAAAAAATAATTTGCAGTCAGCATTAAATTATCATTATTTCTTTGGGAATTTTTTTAAGTCTTCCAAAGAGAATATAAGCATACCATCTACCACAGCTTTGCCAATACAGGCAGAACTTGAAAAAAAGGGATGTTTCTTCTGTTAGACACGTATTGTTTTACAAATCTATTTTACACACATTTTTGGTCAATAAATTAGATAATGCATTTTGGGAGACTGGAAATATCTCTGATTCCAAAATAGGAGAAATGAGCTTGTCTTTGTATACTGCTCCACAAACTGTGAGGTGTGACTCACAATTTCTTTCATGGGTTCACTGCAAGGGGACCACCTCACCCTTAAATGTGTATACCCAGATACTGCTTAACCAGGATATAAACTCCCATCCATAGTTTCTGGGCTATTCCCAACAATGGTAGGTCAGAATGAAAAGAGACCTTGCTTGCTCCTGCCTTCCCAATAAATATTGATTTACCACCAGGCAAGGACAGTCGAATTAAAGCTACAGGACAGACCAGGAGCTTCTGTCTCTTCTCTGAGCCTATCAGCACAAATCTGGAGCCAAGAGGGAAGGCACAGGATGAAGGATTAGGAAGGGATCATCTAGCCCAACCCTCTCTTTTCATGCACACGGAGCCAGCATTCCAGAGATGTTAGGTGACTTAAAGTAACAGTTAGATTGTTGACAACACTAAAACTAAAACTCAGATTTCCTGACTTTCAGACAAAGCTCTCAGAAAGAATAGCAAAATAACAGCCTCCTTCTTCAGCAAGTCCAAGGGATGTCCTAGATATATGCCACTTGGAAAAAGATGAGAAGTCTTAACTAGCTAGGGCACCGTGGTAGTGAATAGTCCATCGATAGTAATTTAATCAAATAATACTCTGCAAAAGGAATCAGGCAAAGGACTACTGAAGACTCATTAGTAAAGAGCAAAAAAAAAAAAAAAAAACCCTTTTCGTAGTAAAACATGCACTTTGGTGGGAGTTAGGTATCGGAAGCATAACAACTGCAAAGAGGTGAGTGATGAGGAAGGCGAGGGACCATTCTTGGCAGCCCCTGGATCCCTGAGTTCTCACACCCAAACCCTCCTCCTTTGGTCTCTTTAGAATGTTAGTGCTTTCTCACTGTTTGTCTTCAAATGAGCAGTAATGAACCTCACCTGTTCTCACACTCATTTTTTAAGAATAGGTGAGATGATAAAGGTAATTTGAACACTTTTACTCCCCCCCCCCAAAAAAGCTATGCAAATTCAGTATACTTCGAAATAATCTGTCTCACTGTGAGGAACTTGTAACACAAAGCCTACACATGCACACAAAAATTAGAGCTAATACCTACCACCTTCCTCTGCCTCCCACAACAATTGCAAAGCCACTTTCAGAGACTAAATTATCACCTTCAGTGGAAGTTAAGGTCAGCCCCGGAATTTTTCCTTTGCATTCTATCTTTAATGCTTTAGATGACTACAAACATGGCCCCACAGGTCTCTGCGTCATCCCTCTAAAGGTAGGGTTATTATGTCTTCTATCCTGAAGACCCTAGTTATTCATTTGATTAAAATACTAGGGTGGTCTTCCTCTGAAATCTGCCAAGGCTGACTTGACAGATCTGGCTAACTCAGTAGGTTTCTTATTTCCTCCTCAACACATTCAAGTCCTTCTCAAAGAAGCACCCTTCATCCAAGAAGAAATCTGTCCAAGCAACTTGGCCATTCTCCCATCAAGGCCACACTAATAATTGCTCTTCCCAGTGGGAACTGAAAACAACCCCTCTCATGTGGAGTTTCCAGAACATAATGGTTTCCAAATGGTAACACCTCCGTCACTTTTGAAAATAAAACCTCAGTGAAATAAGGGATGATCCTGACCTCCTAAAATTGTGGTCAGGGTCTTTGCTCAGAAGCTGGAGGACCATAGCTCATGCTCCAAGAATTTCCTCTGATTCCAGGTCTACCACATCATTCTCCAGTGGTTTGTTTTACTTCTCAGTTTTCTGGCTTCCTAACAATGTTGGGTTTTATTTGGTGATACCAACCGAAACCTAATAAGATTTTTATCGTTATGTTTCTTCCTGATATGTACCATTGGTTAGCTCAAAGATGAGAAGACTAAAAAGGACAAAGAAAGCAAAGACGTTAAGAGCTTCTTGGATGCAAAGAAGGGGTTTACAGAAGTGAAGTCTCAGAATGGAGAATTCATGACCCACAAACTTAAACACACCGAGAATACTTTCAGGTAAGACATAGTGGCTAGTTAACAGTGACTGTGCTCGTGGGGGGGGGGGGGGGGGAGTCAGTCTCCCTAACCTGTGACTCCAGACAGAAACGTGCTAACAGGCAACATACTTTTGTTGTGAGGTCACTGGCCATTGTCTTAGAGATACTCTGTCAGCAGATCAGGCTATCAATCACTAACAGGAGAACAGCAGGCCCTGCTCAGACAAGGTTTGATCTGCTTTTCCCATTATTTGACAAGGCAGATCAATCCTGCTTGGTATCCATGTTTTTTGTTCACTGACCTAATACGTTCACATAAGATCAGCTTATTAGAAAACATTTTCACTGGAGTTCATCTCATTGATTCATTATCTGTAAGGTCCAGCGGACTTCATAAAAGAAACTTCTCAATACCATTTCGAGAATGTATTTTCTAAACATTGTAAATAAATTGTTGCAGAAAAGGAAGATTGCCTGGTGGCCAGATACTTTGCAAACATTAGGTTAAACCAAATAAGTTACCTCTCTCTACCCAGGACTTTGAGAACCTTTGATGTTATTTTTCCTTGGGAAATCTCTAAGAGGGAGGAAGAGGGCGTGCAACTAATGTTCCAGTTTGGAAAATCCTCTTGCAGAGCTTCAGATTCCCCTTTTTCATCCCCTCTCCCATCACACTGAATAGATCTGGGCAATTAAGTTTAGGCCAGATAGACAAGTGTGTGCATGCTAAGTCTCTTCAGTCTTGTCTGATTCTTTGCAACCCCATGGACTGTAGTTCACCAGGCTCCCCTGTTCATGGAATTCTCCAGGCAAGAATACTGGAGTGGGTTGCCATGCCCTCCTCCAGGGGATCTTCCTGACCCAGGGATCAAGTATATGCAGGCAAATCCTCACTTCTAGGTTAAATGTGGAGATTCCCCCCACCCCCACCAGCTTTGTAGAAGCCTGCCATGGATGCCTGGCTACCTGACTCTCCGTGCCCCATTCCTGCACACACTCGCTCCAACTGCTGGTGCCAAATTGCAGTCTCTGTTATGTCACTGGCTGCTGTGCCAAACATTCTGGAAAAGAGTCTGGGGTCCCTGTAATGTGGATTCCCAGAGGGTTGTTCATTGGTGGCCACCTTGCCTGTAGACCCTGTTTTTTGGAACACTTCAAATAAGAAAGTTCCAAGCAGGTGTTGTATAGAAGTCAGACGACTCCTTACACCAAAGCATGGGTAACACTCAAGAGCAAACAGAACTATAAGGGATGGACATTTCTAGCTGCTTTAAGATGCCAAAGTTTTAGGTAAATATAGTTGTTATGCACACAATTTTTCTACACAAAAATTTGAGAAGAAATCTAGTCACGGTTTTACAAAAGAGAGCTGAAAGCACATGGAAGAAAAGATGTGTATTCAAAGCCTAAATAAAGTGTGAAGGAGTGAGAAGGGTAGAACCTATCGATGTTACTTGGGATTGGCAAGAAAGTAGATGTAAAAATTAAGTTTATTAGGAATTCATAGAAAATCTAGAAATCAAGCTGATTCAGGCTGGTAAGCTGAGTGCAGAGCTTGCTGAAGTGCCAGTCCTTTAAGGCGTTAGAGCCCTAGAACAGTGTCAAGTTCATGAAAAGTGTTCAAAGAATATTACCTAAAAATATTATTGTTTAATTACTTAGATAAGACCCTGATCCTGAGAAAGATTAAGGGCAAGAGAAGAAGGGGGTGACAGAGGATGAGATAGTTGGATGGCATCATCAATTCAATGGACATGTGTCTGAGCAAACTCCCGGAGATGGTGAAGGATGGGGAGCCTGGCGTGCTGCAGTCCATGGGGTTACAATTGTCAGACACACCTTAGCAACTGAACAGCAATAACAATTACTTGATGATTTAAAATATGTGCTGTAGGCACAAGTACAATTTTATTAAGAGAAATAACTTTAAAAATCTGTCAGTAGAAAGAAGTTTGGTTAACAATTAGCAAGCTTGTCAACCTGTTGTCCATTGAAAACTCAAATTGACAATTAACATGCCCATTGTTTGGGAATCCAGAAAACTGGGTAACTCAAAAAGATAAGTCACAAGGGACGGCAACAGACTAAGGATTGAGAACCCATAATTGGGACTCTTGCTTTAATTTTGCTATCTTTTGACAGGAAAAAATGAAACAAACTGCTACCATATTATTAGTTTTTAATTTAGCTGCCTACATATGTTAGTTGTAGTTTCAATTAGAAATTGATGCCTATAGAAGCAGAGACACCTCACTTTGCCCCATATAGTTATAGAGTGAGGAGCTGGGGAGGAGTGAGAGCCTCTATTTAGATTAGCCTAGTACCTATTAGTCTAACTGAAAACTAGCTGTGTTCATAGTGAAAGGTCTATATTCATCTCGACTTTCACCTAACGAAGCCACAGAAAGAGGAAAGAACCTTCTGGAAGAAATTTCCATATTAGTGCACCCTAATGCTCAGGCGGTTGCCTGGAAAACCCCATGGACGGAGGAGCCTGGTAGGCTGCAGTCCATGGGGTCGCTAAGAGTCAGACACGACTGAGCGACTTCACTTGCATGCATTGCAGAAGGAAATGTCAACCCACTCCAGTGTTCTTGCCTGGAGAATCCCAGGGATGGGGGAGCCTGGTGGGCTGCCATCTATGGGGTCGCACAGAGTTGGACATGACTGAAGTGACTTAGCAGCAACACTCAGGCCATCCAACACATCTGAGCAGATGTGATGTGGCCAAAATTCTTGTTCCTGTTTTGAGCATAGCTCCTTTTGTTGATTTAATTACTTTCCCCTTTGATAGACCCATTTTCTTATAGCTAGATGTTTTCTCTAAAATATGACATGAAAATCTCAATTCAGGAGCAAGTTAAGCACCTATCACCTAAGGAAACCACCAGTAACATTTTCCCCAGACACCCTTTATGTGTATACATTCAAAACAGACATAGATGTATATATGTGTATAATTATAAATCTCTGTTTTAAAGTGATTCTTTCACTGAGCATAACAGTGTATCTTTTTGCTAGCTTTCTACACCAGTGAGTATAAGCCTACAGTTAATGTTAGAGTATTCTACTGGGTGGATGGGTCATGACTGATTTAACCATTCCCCAATGATGGGCATCTGAATGTCGAAAATGAAGATTGAGCGACACCTAGTGGAGTCCAGAAAAGTTTCTATAGGCACGTGTTGGCAGTCCTACCAAACACTAACGCCAACTCTCAGGAAGAACCAACTCCCTGAAGATGGAGAGACTATCTGAAGGGGAGAGGGTTCCTCTCTGGAGTCACAGGCCTATGGACATTTAAGACTTTGAAAGGGCACTATCAAGTCTTAAGGGGTCCCCTAACCTTGACTGAGTTAAAAATAAGAGTTGATCTTTAGCTATCAAGAACCTAGAATGATATTTTTTTTAACTTTTTAACCTCAACTCCTAGTAAGATATAAATTTTACATCATATCCTGGTACACATCCACATATGTATTTATAACTGAAACAAGAATGTCAAGAAAAAGTCATTTCCCTTGTTCCATGCAATACCCTCTGATGTTTTCTGGTTGGTTCTTTTAAATGCTAATTACAGTCCACTAAATTGATTTTACAAAATGCAGCTTGAAAAGCATAGTACTAAAGGACATAGTTTATTCAGAACTATCTCACTATCTTAAAAGCATGAGATGCAGGCAAAAAATCAGTATCGGTAACTATGTAATCCTGAACTCCTTTTCTGTTCCTCCTCTTGCTTCATAGCTAGAAACACCAGTGTTATTCTCTGCATGGAATAAATGATACTAGACCATGGTAATTCATCTGTTACAAAAGTGTCAGAAATGGGCCACCTATGTTCAGATATAATTAAGAATGCCCTCACTATCTGTTAATGAGTATTTATATAAGATTTCTTCCATTTTTGTAGCTCAGCAATATTCCATTGTGCGTACTTTTACATTTTTGTAATACGTTCATCCATCAGTGGGCACTTAGGCTGTTTCCATATCTTGGCTGTTGTAAATGATGCTGCATGACCATGGGTGTTACATGTGTCTTTTTGAGTTAGTGTTTTCGTTGTCTTTGGATAAATACCCAGAAGTGGAATTCCTGCATCATATGGCAGTTCTACTTTTAATTTTTTGAGGCACCTCCATACTGTTTTCCCTAGTGGTTGTACCAATTTACAGTCCCACCAACAATGCCTGTTTGCTCCCACTGTACAACCTAGGAAACCCAGGGTAAGTGGCAGGGAGGGGACCCGGGGATACAGACCTGGGAATTCCAGATGGACCCCAACTTAGCCGTGAGGATCCGCTGTCCAGTGAGGGCAGTGGAGATTTCCGTGTGGAATGCAAGGCCTGCAGACCGACCTCCCCTGCTTCCGGGGCGGTGAGGGTAGGCTGCAAGGCAGACGCGTGTCCCACTCCTTTGCAGCCGCGCTGGCGGGAGGGTCAGCGAGGCCAAGGAAGCGGAAGGCGCCTCCCAGGTGGAAGCCGGCAAGCGGCTGGAGGAGCTGCGCCGCCGCCGCGGGGAGACGGAGAGCGAGGAGTTCGAGAAACTCAAGCAGAAGCAGCAGGAGGCGGCCTTGGAGCTGGAGGAGCTGAAGAAGAAGAGGGAGGAGCGGAGGAGAGTGCTGGAGGAGGAGGAGCAGAGGAAGAAGCAGGAGGAGGCGGAGCGGAAAGTGAGAGAGGAGGTAAGGCGGGGAGCGGCGCCTTCCCTCGCCCAAGCCCACGAGTGCGCGTCTCCCCGTGAACCTTCTGACCCTGGAGAAGAGCTTCTTCCCTGGGGAATGCTGCGGCCCTTTTGAACGTGAATTCTTACAAGTGCATGAGTCTGAGCAAACTCCGGCAGATAGTGAGGGACTTGGAAGCCAGGTGTGCTGCAGTCCTTAGGGTCACAAAGAGTCCGAGACGACTTAGCGGCTGAACGGCAGCTGCAGCTTGCTAGGCATGGTTCTAAGACTTTTATACACACTCATTTATTCAGTTCACCTAAGGGCGCTCTCATATAGGTAGCCTTCTCATCCCCATTTTACAGATCAGGAAACCAAGGCACTGAGAGGCTTTGTCATGTTCCCCAGGTCCCACTTGTCTTTGTCTTAACGCACGTCCCTGTAAGTGTCTCTCAGTAAAGACCGCGAGAGCAGAGGATGAAAAAGTCTGCGGATCAGTTACAAGAACCAAGAGTCACATGGTGGTTGTTTTTTGATATTTGAAGAGGTTGTATAGAGAAGAGTTTCCCAAAAATCGTGTTGGGGGTGTGTTAAGTGGAAGAGTGGGTAACTAGATTTTCACAGGCGGGGACAGTACCTGCTTTTTTCACTGCTGTACACCCAGGACCCAGCCCAGCGCCGGGCATGTAGCGGGAGCCCAGTGATTATCAGCAGATGAATTTGTTCCATCTTCTTAAGCAGAACTGAAAATGACAGATAAAGTTACAAGAAGGCAAATTTTGAAAACTGAAAAAGTGCTTAACCAGCACTATAAGCATTGCAGTAGTTCACAAAGAGCCTTTTTTCCTTGTATCCTGAGGTACATTATTATCCTCACTTTATGGACAAAGAAATGGGAATCAAGTAGTTTGATCTGTGTGAAGTCACTTGACTAATAAGTGATAGATTTGCTACTGGGACCCAGCTTCTCCAACTCCACATAGAGCTTTCCACACAAATCTCCAGAAATTGTGATCTCCCATCATTTAAAATATGCAAAAAGACTTTAGATGACTTTCTGACATGGATCCTATACAAACATTCCCCAAACTGTGTGGAAAGTTTGGATACATTACTCCAAGATCTCTTTCAGCTCCAGCTCTTCTTGAGCCTATGACCTTTGGTTAGAAAGTAATTGGAATGATTGATTGTTTTAGAATCAGACCCTCTGCCACTGGCAAGCTGGGACCTTGGGAGGGTCACTAGACCGTGAGACCTCTTTTCTTTATCTGTGAAATATCTACTTTCAGGATTGTGGTGGTGACTAAATCATGGCATTCAGGGTGCCTGGTACTTAATACACACTCAGGAACTCATAGTTTTCAGTACTGTTATTATTGTTATTGCTGTTCTCTAGAGGAGCAAAGTATCCATGAAGGTAGAGGAGAAACATGCCCTCTGAGACCTGGATTGGACCTCAGAGATGATTTGGTCTAACCTCCTACCAAGCACCGTGTCTTAGTGGCGGCTGCTATAACAAATTGCCATAGACTGGGTGGCTGATGAGACATCCAGGAAATGTTTGTCTCACAGTTCTGAGGCTACGAAGTCCAAGATCGAAATGCCAGCAAACTCTGTGTCTGGTGTGACCTCAGTTCACAAGATAGCAGTCTTCTTGCTGTGTCCTCACAGGACAGAAGGGGTGAGAGAGCTCCCTGGAGCCTCTTTTAGGTTCCATTCTCATGGTGCCTAAATCCCCACCTCCTAATGCCATTACCCTGGGGGTTAGGATTTCAGCACGGGGGGGGGGGGGGGGGGGGGCACAAATATTCTGTCCACAATACACATGATCTTTCTGCAGCATCCTCTGATACATGAACATCCAGTTCCTGCTTGAGAACATCCAGTTTGAAAACTACAAAGACTACATAAATCTGTCAGAAAACTGTTCCTAGAGGATGTGCAGCCTGATGAGAAGACAGTGTTCTAGGCCAGGAATGAAGGCACCTAGGGTGGGTGGGAGGGGTTGATGAGAGGGATTGTAAACATCTGTGATTTCACCACTAGAATGCAGTATCTACACCGTTTCAGATTTGTCAGACTATCTAGAAATAATCTACTCAGCTAAGGAGCTAAGGTAGGAACAACCATGAAACCATCTCTTGTACAATTTAGTAAATACAGTACTGTACATTTGTATACCTTAGCATATGAATCATCTCATTTGTCTTCACATCTCTCCTAGGAAGTAGAAGTGATAACTTATTTTACATACACAAAATAGAAAGCCAGTGTTTGATGACTTGACGAGGTGATGATGACTATGATGATCATCCTGCTGAACATGAGTCTAAGCCTTCTACCTGAGCTTTCTCATTTCAGTTCAGTTCAATTCAGTTGCTCAGTCGTGTCCGACTGTTTGCAACCCCATGAATCGCAGCACGCCAGGCCTCCCTGTCCATCACCAACTCCCGGAATTTACTCAAACTCATGTCCATCGAGTCGGTGATGCCATCCAGCCAACTCATCCTCTGTCGTCCCCTTCTCCTCCTGCCCCCAATCCCTCCCAGCATCAGGGTCTTTTCCAATGAGTCAGCTCTTCGCATGAGGTGGCCAAAGTATTGGAGCTTCAGCTTCTCATTTAGTCTGTGTTAAATCCCTAGTCAGTGGATACTATTATTATCCCCATTTTACAAATGAGGAAACTGAGGCATGGGGTAGATAAGTAACGTGGCCAAGGTCACACAGTTTAGACGGGACAGTGCCAGAGTGCACATCAGCAGCTGGACTCAAGTGCTCAGGCTTAACCTCTGGTTCCACTCTTGAGGAGGGGATAGCATCTTTTCTAGAACCCGGCTCTTTTTCTTCTAGGACTATGACCATTCCCCTATAGCACTCTTTCCTTTTGGCTTGAAGCTGATATTAGTGTCCTTGTTATTTGTTCTTTCTTAGGAAGAGAAGAGGAGGCTAAAGGAAGAGATTGAAAGGCGAAGGGCGGAAGCTGCTGAGAAGCGCCAGAAGATGCCGGAAGATGGTTTATCAGAGGACAAGAAGCCCTTCAAATGTTTCACTCCTAAAGGTTCATCTCTCAAGGTATTCTTCCCCAGAAAACCTTCTTGTGTTTATTAAAATATGATAGAAACATGATTTCAGCCCCTGATTTAGTTATTGATTATTCAAACTTTTTGTTCCATTTATCTTTTTGCTCCCTCTGTCAGCAATTTCATAGCTTTTTTCATTTTCAAGATATAGATAGGAGAGAAATCAAGTGGAGTACTTTGTGTCTTTTGTTTATTAGATCTTTGATTAAAATGACCTATGATGATTACCTCTGGATTTCATTGACCCACACTCTGTGTACCTTATTACTTTGAGCAATTAAAAGCAGAAACATTGAAATTTTATAAAATAGGCAAATATATTTTAAAGGTTGAAGCTTCTTTTTCATGCTAATTTCATTATTTTTCTTTGTCATTATTAAGAGCAGGACAGCTGGGGATGGTACAGGTCAAATTTCAAAGCCGTTATCATCAAAGGAGATGAAATGTGACTCAGATAGGCTCCCTTGCCAGGATGAGTTTGGTCTGACTACTCCCTTCAGTGGGCATAGCTCCTAATAAAGGAAGACAGAAGTGCTGCTGAGAGAATGAGCAGGAAGGAGCTGAGTCAGGGAGATGATGGGATGGTTGAGATGGAGGGACAAGAGCATAGACTCAAATGTGTATTTTTGCTTATACAGTTAGCATGTTTTGAGTCCCTGGCACAGTGAAGATACTCACTGATGTAGTGAGTAAGTGCTTATTGAATAAATACAAGGATGAATGAATCTTTAGAGATTGGAACTTTGAGCAGTTTTTATTTCCTGTCATCCTAGCTAGGTTACAAAGCCCTGACAACAGGTTACAAAGCATTGACAACAGGTAAAGCCAGTATAGAATCATAGCCAGGCTGCAGCTGGATAATGTGTGTGTGTGTGTGTCTATCAGCCTGTGCACGTTTTGATCAAAAGTTAGTTATTCACACTTACACTTATTACTTGTTGCACATGGAAACCAGTATGTTTTATTCCTAGATCATTTCCTTTAGTCTTTAGGATGATCTGGGTCCCAGTCTACCATGGTTCTGCTGCTGCTGCTAAGTCACCTCAGTCGTGTCCGACTCTGTGCGAACCCATAGACGGCAGCCCACCAGGCTCCCCCGTCCCTGGGATTCTTCAGGCAGGAACACTGGAGTGGGTTGCCATTTCCTTCTCCAGTGCAAGAAAGTGAAAAGTGAAAGTGAAGTCGCTCAGTCGTGTCTGACTCTTAGAGATCCCATGGACTGCAGCCCACCAGGCTCCTCAGTCCATGGGATTTTCCAGGCAAGAGTACTGGAGTGGGGTGCCACTGCCTTCTCCATACCATGGTTCTAACCCCTCCCAAATAAAGTCCTTATACTTCAACCTCATCTCAAGGGCTGCTTCAGGGGGAATTGAAACTAAGCCACAGGGGAATTTTCTTATTTGATATTTATAACAAATCTAATATGTGCTATGAACTATGAAGGAGGGAAGCACAAAGCAAGGTCACTGTCCGTAGGGCACTCATATAGTTGACCACCTCAGGAAAACTCAAGAATTACAAGGGTAACCAAGTCCAGACTACCAGCTCAGTGAGGTCTCTGGGTGGAGCAGGAGGAGGAGAGAGGCTGTGTGGAGTAAGTGAGCTTCATTTATGAATCTGAAATATGAATTTCATTAAGTTTTCCTATGTTACAAAATATTCTTTTGACTTTTTCCAAACCGTTTAACAATGTAAAATGTTCTTAGTTTATGGGTGGGTGGAGAACATGGGCAAAACTCCATTTGCATCCCCCTGCTGAAGGAGAAAGAGCAGAAAGATGCAAACCCTGCTCACTTTAGACCATCTCTGCAAAGCCACTAGATTCCCTTCTGACTGGGGTCCTTTTGTTCCTGGCTCATCGATAATCAGAAAAAAATAAAAGTGCCCTCTCTCTTTCAACCTTCCTTTAACTGCCACCTGAGCTAAGCTTTCCTTGAACTGTGTGGGAACATGAGAAAAGTTGTAGTTATCGAAACTTCTGATTTCTACTTTTTTAAAAGAAACGGCAACCCATCCTCTTTTTTCAAACATCTCTCTGCCAAGGTTCCCAACTTAGCTTCTCTAGTGTTTCCATCAACCAGACTCCAGAGTTCCCACAAAGCCATTTATCTACTTATTCTGGTAGAGAAGGAAAGGCCTGGCACGCTGCAGCTGCAAAGAGTCAGACACGACTGAGCAACTGAACAACAACATTCTAATAGAGAGGCATGTGTGAGCCCTCAGAATTGATGTATGAAAAATTTTAATTTCTGTGTAACAGAGATGTGCTTTCAAGAGTAGGCAGTCTAGTGTTTTTCTCCATAGTATGTGCCTTGAAGAACCTGCTATGGCTCTTGTTTCATGACTTCATCTCCTACAATTGAAATTCCTGCAACTGTTGACACTCTTGGCCCTGCAGCTTTTATAAACGGTCACAAGCTAACATTGTCGAATGCCAGTGGAAGGAGAAACGTTTGATATTTGACCACAAGATATTATCCACTGGTGTATTTTATTGATTTCTCATGGCTTACGTTCCTCGTCTGAGAAGCTCAGAACCTGGTTTCTCATAGTTAAATTATGCTGGCAGTGAATGATCCTTCTTACATAAGACATACAAAGAAAAAGTTTTAAGTAAATTAAATTTAGAATTTTGTTTTTATTATTATTATTTTCATATACTCGTGGTGGAAGAAGTGTGAAATTAAGGAGTGCACCAGTTTGCTGAAATGTGTGTGATTTTCCCGTTTTGTTAGGACCACACTGCCACCTCTTGGTTTATAGAAGAACCAGTTTCTCTCTTTAAACTCCTGACACAGAACGAGTAATTTACAAATTTAGTAGAAATTGTTACATTACCCAGAGTCACTAAGTGCAGGCATTTGCCAGCAAAAATACATCACTAAGTCCTGACAAAATGTGATGATGAAATCAAGCTGTATTGAATACTGTAGATACAAAAGGAGACGTTAGAGTCCGAGAGCCGTAATGTGAATAAATGTGATGGCCAACGTTAACAAGATGATCCCCAGGTCAGAATGATGCTAGAGGTGCTACAGAGAACAGGCCTGCTGTCTCCCCTGTCCATTGTCCTTCCCCCACATTGAGCGGTTCTCCATTCTTCAGTCCCACTGCTCTGCTTGCTTCTTGGTTCCCCAAATCTTTGTAAATGTGTCTGCTCTACTACAAATGTCCTCTCCCCTCCAACGCACCGACTCCCCACCCTCGCTTTCATGAACTCATTTATAAAGCTGTGTAAACTGTAAACTATAAAGATCAGCTCAAATACCAGAACATCTGAAAAACTTTCTCCAACTCTCCGATTTTTTAATCTTTCATATGGTACCTACCATTTAGTTTTTTAATAATTTAAAATTTTTTATTTTTATTGAAGTACAGTTGATTTGCAATGTTGTGCCAGTCTCTTCTGTATAACAGAGTGACTCAGTTTTACACATATATACATTCTTTTTTAATATTCTTTTCCATTATGGTTTGTCCCAGGAGACCGGGTATAGTTCTCTGTGCTTGACAGTAGGACTTTGCTGTTTATCTACCACTGAATTTTAAAATTTTCATTTATGTGTTCTGCTAGTCTCCCCTACTGACTCCTTACAGAATTGGAGTCCTGTCTTATACATCATTGGTGTTTTATTTTATATAAAAGGTACTCATAATTTATTGGTTTGTTGGTTGTTTGACAGACAGGTTGACAGGGAGAAAGGTTAGATGGAAAAATGAGTGAATAATATTATAAGTGCCAGTACATTGTGTGGTTCTAATGTATTTTATCTCATTCAGAAAAGTTTAGCTGGGAACTTTTCCTCCAGAAATGCACTTCTAAGTTCATGTTAAAATCAGAAAAATAAGGGTTTGAGACCCTTTACTCCTCATAAACTCAGGGATACCTATAGCACATTTTTGCATAAAGTTTTATTTTTAATGAGTTTGGTTTTATCTTTGTAAGAAATCACTGGAAAGGATGAATTGCCCTCACTAACATCTATAAAACTATTGTTCAACTGACATTGGGAGTGAAACATGTTTTCCAAAAAGCTTAAGGTTATTTATTAATAATCTCTGAGTCCTAGGCCAACAGTCTAGAAAAGCCACTGACATTTCGAAGATTGTAGGGGAAGGTCAACTGCTCCAGTATTCTTGTTGTTGTTCAGTGGATAAGTCATGTCCAATTCTTTGCAACCCCATGGGCTGCAGCACGCCAGGCTTCCCTGTCCTTTACTGTCTCCCAGAGTTTGCTCAAACTCATGTCCATTGAATCAGTGATACTATCCAACCATCACATCCTCTGTTGCCTCCTTCTCCTCCTGCCCTCAATGTTTCCCAGCATCAGGGTCTTTTCCAACGAGCAAGCTCTTTGCATCAAGTAGCGAAAGTATTGGAGCTTCAGCTTCAGCAATACTTCCAAAGAATATTCAGGGTTGATTTCCTTTAGGACTGAGTGGTTTGACCTCCTTGCTGTCCAAGGGACTCTCAAGAGTCTTCTCCAGCACCACAATTTTAAAGCATGAATTCTTTGGCACTCAGCTTTCTCTGTTGTCCAAAGCTCACATCTCTACATAACTACTGGAAAAACCATAGCTTAGACTATATGTACTTTTGTGAGCAAAGTGATGTCTCTGCATTTTAATACACTGTCTAGGTTTGTCATAGCTTTCCTTCCAAGGAACAAGCGTCTTTTAATTTCAAGGCTGTAGTCACCATCTTAAGAGATTTTGGAGCTCAAGAAAATAAAATCTGTCGCTGTTTCCACATTTTCCCCATCTATGTGCCTTGAAGTGATGGGACCAGATGCCACAATCTTAGTTTTTTGAACTCTGAGTTTTAAGCGAACTTTTTCACTGTCCTCTTTCAACGTTATCAAGAGGCTCTTTAGTTCCTATTTGCTTTCTGCCATTAGAATCATATAATCTTATTTGAGGTTGTTGATATGCACCAGTCTAGGGTAACTGTAATCTAGTAGATTCCTGAACAGGACAGAAAATGGACCTGTGTACTTTGCACATACAGTCATATGCAGAGAAGGTGTTACTATTTGCTGATGACAGAGGATGCATGGCAGAGGCTATTTCTAGCCTGGAGTTGGGTATCATGAGGAGTCAACAAATATTTGCTGGCTTATGAAGAATATTTCGATTTGAGTGATGCAGTTTTAGTAAAATACAGTGTTTGATTTAGCAGCTTTAGTTGTAGCAAAATTTCTAGCTTAAAAAAATGTCTTTAAAAATACTGAATCAATCAATATACTCATAGCAGTTTCTCTAGGCTTATTTCTTGACTACTAGGGTTTTCATGAGAATCCTCAGCCATTCCTGATGAGCTATGCCCTAGTTTCACTCAGCCCCACATCGGTCTTCTACATTCAGGGCAAATTAAGTTCAGTAATAGGTTGGATAGCTATAAAAATTAGGAAACCAGGCTAAGCAGTAAGTGAATAGATCACAGTTCCTGGTTATCATTCTTATATATACACATATCAAATCATTATATTGTATACCTAAAACTAATGTTATATCATTTATACCTCAATGAAAAATGAAAAAAATTTAAAGTACATCAGAAAGCAAAAAAAAAAGTTAGTCTTGGAATGTGATTGTTTTGCCATCGATTTATGTTATTTCAGAGTCATTTTTATTCCATTCTATCTAGTCCTTGTTTCCAGAACTTCATATTTCTCTGTCTTCTGCTGATCCTACCTTCATCTCCCAGTCTCACAAACCTCAATCAAATACCTAATATGTCATTTTCCTCCCTAGCAGAGGTGCTGTGCACAGCACCCTCTTACTCTTTGATATTCTTTGGTGCTTTTATTCCCCAGGTTCAGGGAAGATAGTAGTATGGACTGAGAAACCCTCTTTATATGCTGAAAATATTAACTGGTTTTGTTTTTTTTCCTATTCCTAGATAGAAGAGCGAGCAGAATTTTTGAATAAGTCTGTGCAGAAAAGGTAAACATGGTTGATTGTTTTGTTTTTTTTGTTTTTTTCCATTTATTTTTATTAGTTGGAGGCTAATTACTTTACATCATTGCAGTGGTTTTTGTCATACATTGAAATGAATTAGCCATGGATTTAAAATAACATGGTTGATTGTTGAATTGAGAATCATCAACCATTATATGTAATGGGAAAATTCTCTCATATTTTTATGCATGTCTGTGTGTGTTTATTTACTTAACAGTGGTGTCAAATCAACTCATCAAGCAGCAGTAGTCTCCAAGATTGACAGCAGACTGGAGCAGTATACCAGTGCAATTGAGGTGAGAGATGTCCTCAATGTTAGATAACTGAAGTGAAAGTGTTAGTCACTCAGTCATGTCTGACTCTGTGCAAACCCACAGACTGTAGCCTAGTGTTATGGTCAAGCAGAAATCATACTCTGATTGTATATTATACTCTGATTGTATAAACAATCAGAGAAACACTTAGGACAATAATCAAGTCTGGTAGTGTTAGAATGTTAATGATGCTTTACTATTTTGAATTAGTTATAGAGAAAGCAGTAGTGAAGATAAATTATAGAAAAGTTTAAAATAAATTGTTATTTACTACTTTCCACCTGAGTATTCTTTAATGAAGGTGTAAATTTTTTTAATGAATGAGTTTGTTACTTAACTGTATTATTTATATGTTCACAAGTATATCTTCAATATTCTTAATTCCTTATAAAAGGTGTTCCTATATATAGTTTAAACAGGTCCTTTACAACCATGATTAGTCCTTCTTTGTCTATAAGAACTTTCATTATCAAATAAATTGGTAGTATAAATTAATATAAAGATGACAGCCAGCTGGAATTTAATAGTCAATTTCAAATTGATTGTTTTATGTTTGAAGGATCATAGTTTTATGCCTCTGTCTAATCCGACTTTCTTTCCCCCTCCCAATTGACCTAGGAGTTCTACTCTATTTGGAAATAATGTATATTTCCAAGTACCAAAGCTATAAAATAGTTTGTAACAAATGATAAGAGGGTATAAGAAAGAGTTCTGGATGGTTTGTCAAGTGAATAATCAAGTCCTAACATTCAAGAGGAGGTTTTCAGAAGATCAAATGGCCCTAAAATATAAGACAAATAAGATAAATTGCAAATAGTTTTTTTCTGTGGTTGAATTGGTCATAACTCTAACAGGGTTAATGAAGTCAGGACTATGGCTTCAGCCTTTACTTAGTCCAGCAGTGGGGCCACTCACCCTGGCTGCCCACCTTGATGACACATGCCACAGGCCCCAAAGCAGGACCAGGAGAGAAAGTACATGATTTAGGGTATGTGCATTACTACTGCTGGAAAAGTATCTTGGATGCACATCTTTCTTTTTTACACCTGTTCATTCCTCCTTCCAGTATATTTTCCATGCAATGATCTCTCAATCTTTCTCAATATTTTGGCATATCCCTATCTTTGGTCCTTGGCATGTGCTGTTAGCTCTTCATGAAACGGTGTTTGTGCTTTCCTTCACCAACCTCTTTGAAGTCTTCCATCAAATCTGGGTTTAAATGTCTCATCCTCAATGGGGTTTACTTTGCCCCCCTAAACTAAATGCGTCCTCAGTTGCACAGCCTTGTCTGACTCTTTCCAGCCCTTTGGATTGTAGCCTGCCAGGCTCCCCTGTTCATGGGGTTTTTCTGTCAAGAATAGAGGAGTGGGTTACTGTGCCCTCTTCCAGGGGATCTTACCAACCCTGGGATCAAACCCATGTCTCCTGCATCTTCTGCAGTGCAGGTGGATTCTTTACCACTTGAGCTGCCTGGGAATCCCCCAAACTAAGTACCACCGTCCTCTTGTGTGGTCTCTTGGCATGCTTTCAGCACCACACTCATCTTTCATAGCACTTATTGCAACGTGAAATAATACTGAGTAACTAGTTACCATCTGTCCTATTAATGTCGGTCCAGTGGGGCTCACAGAGCAGGCTGTCTTGAGTGCCGCCATGTCCCCAGGGCCTACCACAGTGCCCTGCCCGCAGCAGGCACTCAAGATGTGTCTGTTGAAGAAGTGAAGTAGCATATCACTATAACAATAAGTGGGGTGGGGGCGGAGATGCCAATGAAAAGCATATTTCACTTTGAAAAGATCCTCTGAAGTAGATATAATGGTTTATTTGGAGATAGAGATCTTATCAAAATGTATAGAAATTATGAGTCATTTTTGGTGAAGGTGTTGACCCAGTGAATTTGTTGAGTGATAACGTTGAGGAAGACAGGCTCACTATAGTTTTATGAGAACAAACTTATCAGTGCCAATCCTAAAAATAATTCACATGCTTCAGGGAACAAAAGCTGCAAAACCTACGAAGCCAGCAGCCTCGGACCTTCCTGTTCCTGCCGAAGGTGTCCGCAACATGAAGAGCATGTGGGAGAAAGGCAGCGTGTTCTCATCCCCCACTGCTTCAGGCACACCAAACAAGGTGAGCAAGGATCGCTGTCGTTTCATTGTAGAGGTTGGATTCCGCACTCCCCCCGCCACTTTGTTTTTCCTTTTCTTTATTTTTTTAGGAATTACATAGTTAATTACAAAAGCAGTGAAGAAAGTATAATTCTTACTTTCTTTTGCAATGAGCACAAAAGCAAGCTCAGAAAGAGTGTATTCCTGAGGTTCTATACTATGCCCTGGTTCTATATTTATGCCCTAAATACAATACCTGGAGTTCATCACGAACCTTGGGATTGGCAGGGGAGGAGAGGTGCAGGGGGAAGAAAACCAGATATCATACTCTTTCAATATCAAGTTCAAGGTTTATTTTCCTTAAAATAGTCCATATAACGATCGGTAATTGATTGGTGCTGTATGAAATAATACTGAATAGTATTTTGAGGTTGCTTTGAATTTCCAGGTAGGTTTTTTTTTTTTCCTCGCCTTTAACATTGGATGCTTGACCTTTACAGGAAACCGCTGGCTTGAAGGTGGGGGTCTCCAGCCGCATCAATGAATGGCTAACCAAAACACCCGAGGGAAGCAAGTCGCCTGCTCCCAAGCCTTCTGTAAGTAGCTCCAGGTTTTTCTGAATGTCTTTGATAGCTCAGCTTCCAGCAACAGAAGAAAAGAGGCTGTTGGGGCATTTGTCTGGGAAAACAGGGCCCCTGTTCCTGGCTGTGACTGCTGAGTAACAGACAAAGAGGGGCTCAGATGAGAGAGCAGTCCCGAGCAGCTGCGCTGTCATTACCCAGAAGGTAAAATGGAACTGTCATCACCTCCCCTCCCGGAACGCTGAGGCAGTTCAGATTTACCCTCTTAACTGTCTGCGTGTTTAGTTTCTATTCTATGAGTTAAGCTAGAAATTTGAACATGGCAAATCATCTTGGCCATCTCTCTGTTAAGAGCACCCCTGGACTTAGAATGTTATGCTGGCTCTCGAACTCACATTTTCTAATTTGCCTAATTTCTGTAACTTAACACAAAAATGCAGTGATTAGGTAGTTGCTGAAATAATTGCTGTAATTTCCTTGTCAACACCTCCAAAGGAAAGCCATTAAAAACAAAACAACAGTAAGACTAGAAACTATCAAAACTGGTTATGAATGTTATTTTTGGAAATTTAAAGTCTTCTTATTAAGCATGGCTTTCTTACTAAAAAATATTCTCTTAACCTTTTCATTGAATGTATATGGTAGTTGCCTTGCATTTATCATTATAATCAAAAGCCTTATGAAGCTCCCTACTGTACACTGGTGAGCTTTCTCTGCTCAGCTGGCTTTATAGCTTTGTTGGTGCCCAAGGTAGCGAAAGACTCTATTGTCACAACCACCCCACTCCAGAGGCAGAAGAAAAGCTTCCCAAACCCTAGGTCTCTGTACCATTGAGCATTTAATTGTATCCATTGGCTCCATGTTTAATCTCCAAAGTCACTAGAGTTTATCACCTTTCCAACTGAAAAAAGAAAAAATGGAAATATTTCCATACTCTTCTTGGGTACATTTCCTTCTAATCAATTAATATTCAGCCTGAGATTCTTTACATAAAGGCCTCACAGAGATATAAAACTAATGTGAACCCAGTTTACAACTGGAAAGTTAATATACTGAAAAGAAATCTTTTTCCCTCTCCCAATAGATACAGACTGTTTGTGACTCTGGACTGTAGCCCCTGCGACTACTCTGTCCATGGGATTTTTCCTGCAAGAATACTGGAATAGGTTGCCATTTCCTCCTCCAGAGGATGTTCCTGACTCAGGGATCGAACCCATATCTCCTGTGTCTCCTGCATTGCAGGCAGATTCTTTACCCTCTGGGCCATCAGGGAAGCCCTCAGATATATGAAAGGAGGCCTATATAAGGAGATAGTAGGGCTTTCCAGGTGGTCTTAGTGGTAAAGAACCCGCCTACCAGTGTAGGAGACTTAAGAGACACAGGTTCAATCCCTGGGTCTGGAAGATTCCCTGGAGGACGCATGGCAGCCCACTCCAGTATTCTTGCCTGGAGAATCCCATGGACAGAAATCTGGCAGGCTTCAGTCCATGGGGTCGAAAAGAGTCAGACACAACTGAAGCAACTTAGCACACACAAGTCAAGGGGTGATACCCTCAAGGTATATGATCTTTAGCGCCTCAAGTTTCCCAGCACCCCAGGTGATATGAAGGATGGAAATTACTTTTTAATGGCAGTTTACATAAAGTTTTATGATTCCTGACCAGTGTTTATCAACCTTATTGAATTATGGACCCCTTTGAAAACCTAATGAAATCTAAGGACCCTCTCCCCTAGAACACTGCATATAATACAAGTTCAGCAAGTTTGTGCACCCATTTAAGACTTCTCATGATAGCAAGATAAGAAGAAAGAGGTGTATGTTTTTCTTCTTTCTTCTTGGATGAATATGGCACATTGCTAAAGGAGGTGGTCAGTTTTTTACATGTATTTGCAACCTTGTTTCATTTCAGTCCCAGATTATACTCATATATTTGGTCAAGGACCTGACCCATACTCTTTTATGGACACTTTAACTGATAAGCCTATCATCTAATTTATCCTAATGAGAGGGTTAAAAAGATTCAATTCAGTTAGTATTACAATAGGTATAGCTGAGTCAAGGTTTCCACAAAAATCCACATTTTCTGGGATTATTGATGACCTCCTAAAAATGGCAGGACAAGCAGGCATTACAGAGAAATTACAAAATCATTGCCTGCTTTATCTAATATTTAATAAGTAATTTGCCAGACTGTCTACTAGGCAGGGGTCCCCAACCCCTGGACCACAGACCAGTAGTGGTCTGTGGCCTGTTAGGAACTGAGTCACACACAGCAAGAGGTGAGTGGCAGGAGAGCAAGTGAAGTTTCATCTTTATTCACAGCTGTTTTCCATCACTTGCATTACTGCCTGATTCTGCACTTTGCTGAATTGTAGAATTATTTCATTATATATCACAATGTAATATAATAATAGAAATAAAGTACACAATAAACGCAACACACTTGAATCATCTTGAAACCATTCTCCCCTACCCCTGGTCCATGAAAAAATTGTCTTCCTTGAAACTGGTCCCTCATGCCAAAAATGTTGGCAACTGCTATACTAGTGTCTAGAGAAGAAAAGGAAAGGAGAATGTGGCAATTAGTATACATCAGAATGATCTCTTTTTCCCCATGTCCCATTGGATTGTGTAGACTAGTGTGGCTTCTTCGATAAAGGCCAGGTCGAAAGATAATGATACATAATTGATGTTATTGATAAAAGGCCAGCTTGAGTATTCTTAATAAGCAACTTTGAGCTTTGTGCACATTCCAAGAGTAGTAGACCAGCAACATGTCATTCAGGAAAAGAAATAACTTAGAGTTCAACAAGGCAGGAGTGTGAACCACAGACAGTAAGGATCCAACAGAAAGGAAATGAAAGTGCCCAAACTCCTGGAAAGAGCCGAAAGGATCCTGTAGATGTGAGTGCACAAAACTTAGCAGACAAAGGTTAAATCCAGGAAGGCGGCTTAGAAAGTCAGGTCAAGAAAGGCTGTTGTCTAGGTCTTATCCAGGGGGTTTCACTCTGGTGGCCTGCAACTAAGATCTGTGTAGACCAGGCCATCGTGCTTTATTGTCCCTTTTAAAATTATAATTCAAACACATTTTTGAGGTGTGGAGGCATGCACTCTTTAATTTGTCAATTCCCTCTTTTACAAAATTTAAAATTTTCTTCCACCAGCCACTTCTGGCTTTTGTTTCTAACTTGTCTCTTCATGACAGGTATGTGAGTTTGACAGCCTGGGGATTCTGGTCAGGCCGACGCTGAGCTCAGGATGTCAGAGGATTACCTAAGGACAACAGTAGAGAGGAGGCTCCCAAATCCACCCCTCTAACTGTGGGCCATAGCGATTTATTCTGAGCCCTTGGTTTCTATTCCTTGGCATATGTGTGTGGAGGGAAAAGCCAGGGTTGTGTTTGCAGCTGTGTGGCATGTGGCCATTAAGGAAAAATCAGAGAGAAATTCTCTCATCAAAATCGTGCTCACCCAGTGAAACCTCAAGAAGAAGGAAAAGAGATTCATGTTTGGTTCTAAACTTTACCAAAGAGAAAAACCATTCTCTCCTACTAGCTATGAATTAATTTTCATGTAATTAAAAATGCCCAGAAGCTTGTCAAATCAATATTATTTGGGGTTTCTGAAAATTAATAGCTTATTTAAACACTGATCTATACCTGATTGTTTACTGGGACATCTATTGCTATTTGTGGGTAGAATTTACAGGACTTCAGTGTCACTGTGTAAAATTCTGAATATGTCTGTTGCACCTGGTTTGTTCTTTGTGTCTAAACTACATGTTATATACAGCGATTAAAATGCTAATTTATCTTTCTTTTTTTAAAAAAAAAAAACAACTTTGTCCTTCTCAGCTGAATTCTCTTCTTCATTCTTTGATCTCTGGTTGACTGGAAGTCTGCTTTCCTGCCTTCATTTTTCCCTCTTCTTCTGGAGTGGGTCTTTCTCTAAAACGTAGTAGGCCGGTCAGGTAATTTCATTTATATTTCCCATTTGATTTAAAATGCCAATTTGCTACTTGGATGTTAATATTTTCTTTAAATGGACTCTCTAAACCGTTTAAGTGACCTCAAAAGATTCATAGGCAGGATTTAAGGGAGATACAATTCATTTTCCTCAGTAGAAGAGTATTCACATTAAAAAAAACTATTTCTCTTATATTAATTAAATAAAGTAGTAATAGCTACTTTCCAGAGCTACCATTAGCATGATCCTAGTTACAGTCTCCAATTTTTTTAAACAGTCTTCCAGACAATTTGGCAGCTTCTGCCTACATTGGAATATACAGTGGAATTCTTCAAAAACAACCTGATTTGTTGCTTACTGGTTCCAAGTTAAATAGGTGTAACTCTCTAACAGAATATCAGGAATCCACATCACAGTGAAAATCCAGAAATTTATTAATAATAAGATTAAGGCAAATCTGAACTGCTTTACGTGATACTATTTAACCAGTGCATCTTCAGCATTACAATCTCAATAGTTATCTATGAAAAATTATATGTTCACTTAGACTGGTGTCCGTGGGTAAATGCAATTGCTGTTAGCTTTGCCTTCTAATGAGAAAAGGGTTTGCCAAAATAAACATTACTATTTCAGTAAAACACATTTATTTTCCAGAAACTGCCTTTTCCAAGGACTAACATAAGCAAATGTTAGAAGAAAAGTAAATGGAAACAGAAATTTGGATCCTTGTCTAAGCCAAATTCATTATGAGGTAGTAAATAAAAAATCCAAGATATATAGCTGTTATCATATTTTAGTGTTTTCTTCCCAAGATTTCATGCGTTCTTGCATATGTCATCAACCTGTCAGTTTCTCTTATGGGTACAGTTTGTAGTAAATGGTTACTTTCATGGGGCTGGCTTCTCCTGATACACTTCTGAATTACCACTTGCTTCTCAGAAAATATAAAATTATTTTAGTCTGAGGAAAGTGCAATTAGAAAAATGTCTTAGACTGGGCTGCCCTAAAATAGTGGTTCCTTTGCAAGTAGTGTACTTGGGACGTGAGGAAAACACTATAGGAAGTGAGGGGGGAAAAGAAAATAGTCAATTAAGAAGGTTTATTAAGCAACTCACTACATGAGCTTTTAAACGTAACCCCGCTGGGAAAAGCCTAGAAGCCACCACAAAACACATGCTTCTGAGTTACCCTCACTGAGGCATGAGCGAATCTAAGAAATATTCTCGCACCAAGTCTCATGGATGACTGATTGAAGACTGCTCTTAGGGGTGACTCTGAACATCCAGGTTGCCCCCTGAGTGGGCAAAGTGGGCATGTGGAGCCAGAGGAAGTCCTCAGGTGAAGAGATGCCGGGTTGGCCATTGGAAGTCCAGCTGATATGCATTAGTCTTAAGGGCTGGGGGCTGTGGGGCCAAAAAGAAAGTTAATTGGCAAGGGATGAAGTGCTTTTCTAACCCCCTGAAAATTATTTATTTATTGTAGGTATTTTTTATTTTTAAAACTTTTTATTTTATATTGGAGTATTCAAAAAAATTGGGCTTCCCTGATAGCTCAGCAGATGAAGAATCCACCTGCAATACAGGAGACCCTGGTTCGATTCCTGGGTCAGGAAGATCCCCTGGAGAAGGGATTGGCTACCCACTCCAGTATTCTTGGCTTCCCTTGCGGCTCAGCTGGTAAAGAATCCGCCTGCAATGTGGGAGACCTGGGTTCGATCTCTGGGTTGGGAAGATCCCCTGGAGAAGGGAAAGGCTACCCACTCCAGTATTCTGGCCTAGAGAATTCCATGGGGTCGCAAAGAGTCGGACACAACTGAGCGACTTTCACTTTCATACCAAAAATTATTTAAAACCTATGCGCTATTCACTTCTAAGGACATAGAAAGTTAAACATAGACTATCTCATTTTAAATATGCTTATATTCCAATTTTACAGGTCAATAAACAGTAAGTCCTCAGTGAATAATGGGACCTCAGTGCTGGATAGTTTGAGCCCATTCTCATGTCACAACATAGGTCAGGGTCTATATAAAATCAAAAAATGGTTAGCAATCCTTTTGATTCAAACCATTTCACATCACTCGGATAAAGTGTGTTACACAAATAAACAACACATGGTGTGATTTATTTAGACCCGGCCAGAAAACACAAAGAGCCACGTATCAATTTTTCTGCTTTCTGTTCATTAGGATTTGAGGCCAGGAGATGTATCTGGCAAGCGGAACCTCTGGGAAAAGCAATCTGTGGACAAGGTCACTTCCCCCGCTAAGGTAATCTACTGGGAGATTTGTTTTTCATGGGTTCATTTCCTACTGTATCCTGCAGTGTGAGGTCCCAGGGTCAAATGAGAAATAGCACTGATCTGCAGAGTCTTGCCTGAGTAACCATCAGTTTCTAAAGACCTGTATATGGTGCAGTGAAAGGCAAGGTCATGGAGCCTTCAGCAATGGTAGATTTGTCAGTTACACAAGGTAAATAGTCCACATCCGTGAGATGGTTCCCGGACATTCTAGAAAGGAGCGTTGACAGCTGAAGGCTGTGTGGTATAACTGCAGTCTGCCCTTCCTTACAAAGCCCAGGTTTGAAGATCAGAAGTTTCAGATTGCCCAGGGAAGAAACATCTCTCTCCCTACAGGGTAGTTTGAAAGCTGCTTTCTGGAGCCATTCTAAGGGGTCGCATTGCCAGCAGCCCAGGACTCAAGGCTGTTACGACAAAAAATTAAAATAACATTCAAAAGTTAGCAAAATTTGCTACCCTATGAAAACTAGTGACTAAGGATGTTTGGATTTGTCTTTTTTTGGTCTTTTGCTGATTCTTCATAAAGGAGACTCTGGACAATACCTAAAGGATGCACAAACTAAAAATAGGACCCCTTGTTGTAGCATTTTATTTCAAGTAATAATTCTGGTCTTCTCTCTTGGTAGGGGGAAAATTGAAAAGAGGAAAATCAGGGAGTAATAGTTAGTAAAATTAGGAAAGTCTGCTTATGGGCCAGGGTAGAACTCCATACACAGAAGCACTTTATAAGCAACTTAGGACTGAAGAACATCTCAAAAGCACCTGAAGAATCACTGCAATTCACAAAAGGGAAAGGAGTCATTTTTCAGTTGTTCTTTTAAAAAAGAAGAAGAGCTTTTGTTGGTCTAAGCCATTATAATAACACAGCAGGCCCAGAGCTGAGTTTATGAGGTAGCAAAGTAGACAGCTCCTTTGGTCCAAAACGTCAAACTCACTAGTGTCATGCAGTAATTCCTTTGAAATGAATCTATTTGAAATTGCAGATTCACAACAACTCAACATTTGTGAATACCTCAGCAAAGGTTTTTATCAGCTAGCAGAAGAAAAGAAATGGTGTACAATAAGACCATGGATCAGACAAGTTTCTAGGGTAGGGGTGTACGAATAGGAAGTAGGAGATTAAAAAACCAGAGGGAACTGCAGATAAGCATAGTCTGCTTTACCATCATGCCTTGATGTGGCCTAGACTGAACCATTCAGTCATGCGTGCCTATCTTGGGATGCATATCATAGAGTCCTGGCCCTTACAGTAGAGTTTAAAAAAAAAAACGATAGCAAACTTCTCTGACCCTGAATGCCATGAGCAAGGCTCCAGATCAAGATATGGAAAAGGGAATATAAAGAAGAAAAGAAGAGGAAAGCAAAAAAAAAAAAAAAAACAGAAGAAAGGATAGTCTGAAAGGAGCATATTTAAATGAAATGCCAACAATAATCCTCCCTTTCATAAACATTTATTCCTGCCATATTATGATTTTTTTTTTTATTCTGACACAAAATGTCTAGCTGAAACATCATGGCCTGCCTTTTTAAAGCTTTCTTCTCTTAGCAGGTTTGAGACAGTTCAAGAAAGAACCCAAAGTAGCCGCTCAAGATGCTGGACCAGCTCAGTTGAAGAGGGCTAATTTGCTCTGTTTATATTTATGTTGATTTACTAAATTGGGTTCATTTCCTTTTGTTTTGTTTTTCATTATCCCAGTAAACCCATGTATATTATCACTATATTTAATAATCACAGTCTAGAGATGTTCATGGTAAAAGTACTGCCTTTGCACAGGAGCCTGTTTCTAAAGAAACCCATGCTGTGAAATAGAGACTTTTCTACTGATCATCCTAACTCTGTGTCCGAACAGTGATACCAGCCACATTGAAAGTCAACAAAAGAAGATCCGAGTTGGAAATTGCCTGAGGAATGTGCAGTATCCAGAAAAATGAAACCTAGTGGTTTAAAAAAAAAAAATACAGAAGTCATGTCATTTCTGCACTTTAGAATAAAGCATGGAAGAAATTATCTTATAGGCAATTATAACACTTTGTGAAAGTAACCCACTTCAGATTTGAGATACTGCAATAATGTTTGTCTTCAAAATAGAAAGATGTACTGTTAAGGTATTACTTTTTTCATGCTGATGAATATCTAAATTGGATTATGATGTTAGCTGACAGTGGTACTGATTTCTTTAGGTTGGTTGCTTTGTGGATTTCTTTGGTAGTGATAGTAAACCACATTTTAGATGACCCTGATCATGTATGTATGTGCATACACGTATACAAACACACTAATGGTAGAAAGCTTTTTTATGTGCTAGGCTATTATATTTAGCAGTATGTCCCTGTAACTAGCCAATATCACCGCTTTTTAAAAACTAAAAATCACAGTTTATATTAATATTTCATATTTGCCAATAGAAACATGGCAGAATAGGTATCGATATGTTTTCAATGCTGGATAACCTATAAGAAAGAGAGATTCAAAGTGTCAAACTGCATTGACATTTTCTATAAAACATATTATTTAGTTTATAATTAAAAGCAATCTTGAAGTCCAGTGTGAATTGTACCAAATATACCAAACTTAAAGCTTGCTCAGAACTTCACTCTTAAGAATCAAGTTCACAATAGGTTGGCTTAAATGCTATCTAAGTTCTCTTTCTTCTCTAAAACTTAAAGACAAGAATCTTAGTGACAAAACTGTACAGCTTGGAATTCCATGAATAAGTGTACTAAGACCAACTTTGACTAATCTCTGGAAGCAGAAAAGTAAGCAAAAGCCACTATTTAGGAGTCATGACCTACTTCCATCTTTAACATCTTTTTAATTAAACTTTTCTACCTTTATTAGTCATTGGTACTTACCATAAGTTGATAATGTGCTGAGCTTTCAAAAAAAATATGTAATTTTTCTTAGTTTTACCTTTTTCTCCAAGAGTCTATCAACTCATCATTTGTACACACACAATCCGATATCAGATCTTCTTTTAGCTCATATGCATTCATCTATTCTTCACAACAGATCAGAGTACTCCAGTGTCATGGCAATATGTTCTAGCATAGAGCTATACATATAGTGTAGTTCTATAAACCTATACCTCATGACTTACCAAAGTTATCTTAGTCTCAATTCCTACTACAATGAGGGAGCCTCCCAAATGACCCTTTTCTAATCCACAGTGTTCCCTGGGGGAGCTTGCCAGGGTAGGGCTGGCATGAGGAGTGACTAGCGCCTTCCAGAGGCTCTTTTCCTCGTAAGTCAATAGAGTTGTTGAGGCCTCTAGCTTTTAGCACACCTGGGCCGAAGAAAGTAAAGCCAGCAATATTGCACAAATCACCCACCCATGACAGAGTAGACATGAGTCTATGATACGATGAACTAGAATTCACATGCAGTGCCTGAGTTAGCACTGACTCCCACCACTGGAGTGAAATGGATCAAAGTTTGAATTATGGCCTATGGCGAGATAAAGTTTCTTTGTTGTACTTTTTAATAAGAGCTTCTCCTGATCACTGTTATATATTTTTTCTAGAAAGTCTAAAGTTAAGAAGAGAATATATCAATTGATCCTGACTTTTATTCCAGTATTTGGATGGAATAACTTTTAGGGTAGATTTTTGTTCGGTTTGAATTTAATTTTTTGAAAAAGAAATTCCTTGTTTACTTGTTTGATTACAATTCTCTTTGTTATCTTTTTAAGAGATAAACCTGCAAGGTGACTAGCATGTTCTGTGAATCTGCCATTCCTAAAAATTTTATAAACACGATATTTTTCACTGATAATTGATCGCTGCAATAAATACATATTGTGAAAATGCATCCACAATAAATGGAATTCCTCCAAATGTCTTTGCCTCACTTGTTTTACGTACTATATTGATTACAAGAGTTCTATCTGATGTAATAAAGATGATGGCATAGCAAAATGTGTATTCTAGATTGAGTCTTGGATTCATTTTTTAAAGAAGAAAGCCATTTCATATTTTTAGATACTTCTTATTACAAGCAGTTTTTCAACAGAACATTAAGAATTGCTCTGATTGGGACAACTGATCAAACATATATGGAAAGTTTGAAAAGAGGGATTAAAAACTTTTTCTTAAAAAAAAAAAAATCAAATGTTCCTTCCTCCTCCTTCTCATTCCCTGCGTTGTCACAAGTCATTGTTCTTGCTCCTACAGTGGCAATATTGTTTTCTCAAAGGCAGTGTCTTTTATAGTAGAAATACCCATTTAATATATACTGTTTGTCTATAAAATACTATTCACAAGCCACTGGTGATTATATTTAAATCCAAAGATATTTTTTCATAGCAGTTTTATATATTTAAGTAGCACTACTTGAAATCTGAGGCTCATCTTACAAAGGTTTTACTTATTTATTTTTATCATTTTGACTGTGCTGGGTCTTCATTGCTGTGCATGAACTTTCTGCAGTTGTGGCATTCAGGCTTCTCATTGCCGAGCACGGACTCTAGCACATGTGGGCTCATTTGCCCCAGCCTGTGGGATCTTAGTTTCCCCCACCATGGATTGAACCTGTGTTCCCAGCATTGGAAGGTGGATTCTTAACCACTGCACCACCAGGGAAGTCCCCTCATAAAGGTTTTAAATTGTGCGTCCAGAGGCTCTGAACAGTCCCCTCAGTCCTGTTCATAAGACTGACAAAGAGTTAACTACTATAACTTAAAAACAACTAGTACTTTTGACATCTCCGTCCTAATAAGAAGGGCTCTAAGTTTAGACAGTGAGATAGTTATCATCAAAGTCTATCGCAAAGTTAAACAATGGAAAGCATACAGCCTGTAGTATTAGTACCAAACTGATAGGATTAGGGATGGGTCAAAATTAGTCCTACAATGTGCCTATTCAGGGTTTGAGCTCAAAGATGTTATGGTCTTGTGTGTGATGTAGAAACAGGTCTGTATTATGGAGTTTTTTCTACTCTTGCTTGCATGTGTGTTCCAAGTAGAAAGATAGATAAGATCTCATGACCCTAAGCATATCTTCTTCCACAGGAGTAAGGAGATGGCCTAATAAGGTCTTGATTTGAGTGCTGTGTCTATTTGTGTTCAAGCTTATTAATCATGTTGTCCAAATGTTCTATATCCTTACTAATGTTTTGTTCCTTTCTTCTAGCTATGACTGAATAAGGAATGTGAAAATCTCCCTCTATTATTATGGATTTGTCTATTTCTACTTGTGAATATGTTAATTTTGCTTTCATATTTTAAGCTCATGGTTTTGGTGCATACAGAAATCTAGAATCATTTTCCAAGGGAATTGAATTATTTTAGTTTTATGAAGTGCGTGTGCCTACTATGTTGCTTCAGTCCAACTCTTTGCGACCCAATGGATTGTAGCCCACCAGGCTCTTCTGTCCATGGGATTCTCCAGGGAAGAATACTGGAATGGGTTGCCATGCCCTCCTCCATGGGAAACTTCCTGACCTAGGGATTGATTGAACTGTGTCTCTTAAGTCTCCTGCATTGGCAGGCAGGCTCTTTACTGGTAGCACCACAATTATGAAGTGACTGTCTAATTATAGCAAAGATTTTTTCCTTAAAGTTTATTTTTTCTATTCTTAACATTGCTACCATGTCTTTCTTTTGGTTAGCACTTGCAGGTGGCTCAGTGTTAAAGAATCTGCCTGCCAATGCAGGCAACACAGGAGATACAATTCAATCCCTGGGTCAGGAAGATCCCCTGGAGTAGGAAATGGCAATCTACTCCAATTTTCTTGCCTGGAGAATCTCATGAACAGAGGAGCCTGGTGGGCTACAGTCTATGGGGTCAGAAAGAGTCAGACACGACTGAGCAACATGACTTGGCAACTGCTAACTTTACTTCTACCCTTTTACTTTTATTTTTAACTTCACTGCCTCAATGATTAGTTTTAGGTTTTGGTCTCTCTTATTTTTCAATTTTTTTTATTGGAGTAGCTTTACCATGTTGTGTTAGTTTCTGCTAGGAAGCAAAGTGAATCAGCCACATGTGTACATGCATTCCCTCTCCTTGGATTTCTTTCCCATTTAGGTTACGGCAGAGCATTGAGTAGAGTTGCCTGTGCTATACAGTCAGTTCTCCACTCTTTTCTTTTCAGCCTTTGTGTGTGTGTGCTGTGTGTATATTTGATATATGATATAACTTTCTCTACACCTTTACTATCAACATTTGTATATCTTTAATTTTGGGTAAACGTTCACTTAGACTGGTATCCATGGATAAATGCAATTGCTATTAGCTTTGACTTCCTAATGAGAAAACAGTTTGCCAAAATAAGCATTATTATTTCAGTAAAACACATTTATTTTCTACAAAATACCTTTGCCAAGTACTAATAGAAGCAAGTGCTGGAAGAAAAGTAAATGGAAACAGAAATTTGGATCCTTATCCAAGCCAAATTCATTACGAGGTAGTAAATAATCAAGATTCTAACCTCTGTTCCCCATAATTCCTCATAAGAGATTGCTATTTCCTAGGAGCATGCCTTGAAGACAGCCCCTTTTCAAGGGGCAAGCTGGGGCCACCATGCTCCTCTTGCTGTTATTGTTAATAATAGCACTG